TGCAAGTTGCATATGTTTCAGAACGGTGTGATGAAACAAAGTTCTTTGACTGATCTCTCTTGTGATAGAGCTGAGACATGTGTGGTTAACTGGGATGTTCATTCAAAAAGGCCATATAATGATAATACCATAATGATGGCTCGTACACCTATAATGCAAACAACCATTCATTTGTGACACAAAAACCAAGAACAGGGAACTTACAAAATCTCTACCAGCACCACTTTTTGGCCTTATCATATTTACGTTCTTTGGCCAAATATGTGGTTCTCAAGCTATTGAATTTAGATTTTATTTCTTCAGTCTTCAAGCATGCTCGCAATACAATAAGAGTATTCTTAATGTATTCTAGGGCCTCTGATCTGGCTACTCTATTATGGTATAAAATATTCTTCACAGCATATAAAGACATGGAAATTTTTGATATTCCTCTATGAGTGCCAAAACTTGTTCTGCTGTCCAATTCATGTGTAACTGTGGCTGACTACGATCGAGGGGTAGACAACTCCAGCGAAATGTGTACACCATAATCAATACTCAATTAGGCAACTGTACTCAACCTATAATCAAATGTAATCGAATACTCAAAATTGAATGTACACCATCTCAAATGTAATCAACAAGTCTCAAATGCAGTCCGTTCCAAATGTAATCAAATTGTCTCAAAAGTAAGCGAATCGTCTCAAATGTAATAAAATCGTCTCAGATGTAATCAAATAGACTCAATAATTGTAATGAAAAACGTCTCAAATGTAATAAAAATGTCTCAAAAAGTCTCAAATGCCTCAAAATGTCTCAAATAGTACTCAACATAATCAGATACTCAAGAGTCTCAAGATGTCTGGAAATTACTCAAATGTAATGTAATGTAAACAGGTACTCACTTATCCAGTGCACACCAGTCTCAACGAGTTGTCTACCCCTCGACTACGATATTTAAAATAAACGTAACATTCGTTACAACTACTTTTTGAGATTTAAAATAATTTCTTGTGAATCAACCTCAAATGACTCGCAATAACAAAAAAACTTGACAATTCAACTTAACGTACACTGCGCATGATCACGTACAAGAAATATATCAGGAAATAGAACCCGTCCTATATATTTCTTGATTATAATATTCACATTCAGATTTGGTGTATTACACGATGATGCAGAGAAAATTGCACTCACATTTCTATAGAATAATATTGCACCAATTTCTGCACCATGTAATACGGACTTTAGCTCTGATACATTTTTTCAGGAATGTATAAGTACATATATCATGATATACATATACCTAATGAAATCCTCTAGTTGTAAAATCATCTAACTAGGCATACATCATATACCTACTAAATATATACGGATAACAAGGATCTCCAATAAGTGAAGCCAAAAAATGAAATAAATGACAGTCTGCGAGCGCAGCTGTATTACAGCGCATGCGCCATCAAAAATTAAGAAAAGACATCAGTTTGCAAAATTCCTTTCAGCAGGCGATGACTTTGTAATGAACATATGAGTATTATTAGGCAATCCAAACCATGTGACATTTCAGCTGACAAGATGGCGTCTGGTTGGCAAACAAAGATTATACATCACTTATAATTAAATTGTATTTTGCCCGAATCACCCTATTATTCTGGTAGTTTTATGTGTCAGGTGTTTGAGGGTGAGGGATTCTCGGAGCTGAATTGAACAGTGCTTCAATATGCTAAGTTCATATTTCCAGAAGTTATTACAGGAAAATCCAGAGGTTGGTCGGAGGTAAACATGAATATTTATTGTTTTTTCGGCTATTTTTCTCAACTAACCAGTGAATTTTCATCCCTGAAACTATCATACAACCATAATTTGTTTGTAGATATCTGGTGAAGCTGATGTTGATCAAGAATTTGGAGCCCTTCACATCTGAAACTGCTGACTGGTTAGACTACCTCATAATTATACTCTCCTACTATTTATAGTGACCCACAGTTTCTACCCTCATGAGCAAATGAAAGCATTCAAAACCCTTGTTGTTTACAAGTATTTTTCAGCTACTTTTGTCCAGGAAGTAGACAGGAAGATGAATGATTTTCATGTAATAGTTGGAAATAAGGTAACTTTTCACTTTTATACCTCAATAACTTTCATGATAGGAACATTTTGAATGATGAAATTATGTTATTCATATATTTTTAAATATATTTCCTACCTCATATTCATGTATATCTTATGCAATTTTTTTATAGGTAATATATTCACAATCAGATTCTGTGCTAATAAGTAACTTGAGGCTTGGGCAAGTAAAAAAGGAACAGTTTCATGTACTGATGTATGTGCTTTGTGGCCCATGCCACCACTCTCACCATGATTGTGCCCATCATACCAATAGCAGAAATGGACATAGGTACAGTTGCTCTGGCTGGTTTAATACCAAATCCCTACTATATCTTCAATGTCCGAGAAACATGTTTTTTGGGAACAACATTCACAAATTGCTTTGAAGTTTCATGCTGAAGTTATAATACCTCGACTTTTGGGTGGATATTAATTTCACCAGAAGTGAACTATTGGTGTAAGTGTTCAAGTGCTGATGATGGAACCCCTATGACTAGTTGTGACAGTGATAAAGGGAAATTGTATGGTTCTATTTTAAATGTGTAGATATATTAGGTAAACCAGAATCAGCATGGTTTTGTGAATTCTGATTCAACAAGTTCTATAGAAAAATATGTACCTATTGATGATAAATATATCATTCAATCATTGTTTATTATTGTTTCAATCAGATCACTGAATAACTATAATGTTCTATGCAGATTTTTTCATGACTCATGTAGATCTTCTGTAATATAGTGGAATAATACAATGTATTTTTCATTTAATGAATATTACAATTATTTTGATATACTTACTTTATTTGCCTTACATTTATAATTGATAAAAATAAATCACAACAAACTGTAATTTGTAAAAGTACTCATAATCTTGTAGATTTTCACCTTGTTTCCACCAATTTTCTCTTCTATTTCTTTATCTCCCAGGACATTTTCTTCATTACACTAAAATAAATGAAAAATGATGTAGTAGTAGTATTAGGTAATTAGGTGTTTTCTTGAGAACATACCAGGTCTTTCGGTTCTGAAGCTTGATTCATGATTTGAACCTTTTGTCTGCTCTCAGTTTTTGATCCACATCAGTCTTGCATTTCGAATGGACAAGAGATATTGATGACCCATATGATATTGCAATGGGACCCAAGCTGGATATTCTCATCTTTCAGGCACTACGTTCTCCTACAAGGTGGATGATTTATTTATGTATTAGAAACATGATGTTTCCAAACTATGTAAGACCATCAAAAGTAATGAGTATTGGTTTATTTTATCAAAATGAAAAAAAGATAAGTTTTCCATAGGATGAAAGACCAAACTCATCATAAGTTCTAGAGAAGGTAGGTACATATAAATAATATTGAAATCCTTTTTCTTAGGTACCTGTTATGAAAATAGTGTCTGCCGAGGTGTCTGCCACATATCCTCTGGTTTATTATGATTGATTCTGTTGCTGATTCTTTCTCTTCATGGCTGCTATCCACATTCCCCTTACTTTTCTTGATAGATCCTTCATCTGTGGGTAATGCTCAGAGTTTTCCACAGTATCTCAGTAGGAATGTGACAGCCACCCACCACCCTGAAATGCAATCGAACGCAGAAGACTTATATATTTTTTTCCCCGGATTTAACAACAGTGAGGACCAACTTCTCATGGTTTGTGTATACCTTCCTCCTGGTGCCGACTATGTTCAGTGTTATACCGAATTTATTGATTCTCTACAATCCAACATTAACTACACGAAATATAACAATATTGTCATCGTAGGGGATTTCAATATGCTGAAACGTATTTTTATGAAAAGATAAAGAAAATCACTGTTTCCCAATGCAAACGGCAGCTTTTCATCGGCGGCACATGGGTGTGAGTAGATTGCAGTTCAGTTGGAGAAATAAAATTTTATAACATACTATTATGTTCAAAGAAAAATATTCAATTTATAATTCAAATAAATAATGAATTGCAAATTTGGACGCCACTGATTCTTTCAAGCTAATGTTCACTTTGGTGATAAAATCAGAAACCTGTAAAGAGTAGAGTATATCAGTGAAACAAAATCAGAAAATTTACCTAGGAAATTTTATTACCAAATTTGGCTTCATGAAAGTTTACCAATTGAAATAAGTCAATATTTTACATAATTACAGCAATCATCTGTACAGTAACCATTTACACATTGAATCCTTTATCGAAAAACAATATTATATATTATATCATCAGAATTTTATACCTGAAAAAGCCCACTTGAAAAAGGTTTTCGCAATAATGTTAGAAGTGATGTTTTTACCTCAATATACCCTGGGAAAATTCATGAATTTTGCATGGGGGATCATATTAGATGTTGATGATTATTCAGATTATTCAGAAGGGCTTGAACACCAGTAATGTTCCGAAGATTAAAAGTTCTATGTTATGTTCAATTCAGAAGAGTAAAAGTTCTATGTTATGTTTGATTCAATGTTAAATAAAAACAAAAAAAAAAACTTGAAATTTTTGCCTGCTATCCAATGGTGATCCATTTCATAGTCGAAGCAAGCATGGCTTCTGGCTGCAGGTGAAGAGGAACGAAGACAGGTAAGTATAAAGATGAACTGGAAGTTCTGGGAGTTCTGGGAGTCATCCTATGGTGCGACTCTCATTATGTTTTGGTGGCTGCTCAACATTGGATGATGAGGATCATCATCAGGTGGCGAAACCCTTCATTAGCCAGGCCTTCACTATACAAGGGGCCCTCAGGAACCGTCAGGATCAAAACCACGTGCTTCATAGTACAGGAAGTACAGGACAGAAAAGAGCAGACCATAATAAGAACAGCCATGATACCAGAAAACCCTATGATTGTACAAAAAAAATTTTCTACTAACCATCTAAAAAGAAGACAGTACCAAAGAAAAAAAACTCACCTCTATTACCTAGAGGGTTAATTTTCCACAGCCAAAATCCATCAAAATCGTTAGCAGGGCCTCGCATGGGTTCATCAGCAGTTATCAGTCCATTATTCTCAATCCACCCCATTGGATGGAGATTTCCAAAAAATTTACCTTGTGAAGGTAGTACTCACATACACGGCCTCTCTCACGTGTACCATCAATCAGACCAGGCACGAGAAAAGATGGTGCTAGCAGGAAATCTATCTCCAGGAAACCCTTTCTGTAATAAGGTACTCCACACAAGTATATAAATTATAAATGTATAACTAAAGAGTTGGTAACCCTGATATATATTATATTGGTAATCGTGTATGTGTACACGACGCATGTGCGAACAGAACCTGTCAGCTCCTACATAGGAAACCACCAGAATAAAACCAGTTGCTTCTAGTCAGTCCTGAGTTTCAGTCAACCCCTCTTACCTCATAATATATAAAACATGGCGCAGTCTTGAGCACATGGTGATAAGAGGTCGCCATATTGGCGAAAAGAGCGAAAAATCAATTTCGTGAAAATTTATAAGGCCTTTGCCTTCAAAAATAACTTCCAGAGTTATTTAATAACAATTGGTTACTAGCAAAATGGATTTCAGAGGTGTACCGCCGATGATTTATACAGGAAATCTATCAGAAAATTGGCGTTTTTGGAAGCAACGATTCTTGATGTACCTCACGGCAACGGAATTGAGTAAGAAAGAGGAAACTACCAAATGTGCCCAACTCTTGACACTAATTGGCGATGAAGGTATGAGAATTTATAATACTTTCGTATTTACGGATGAAGAGAAAGACAAATTTCAAGTATTAATCAATAAATTTGAGGCTCATTTTAATCCTAAGAAGAACCTGACTTTCGAACGGTATAAGATGTTCACTTGCAAGCAGAAAGAAGGTCAATCTGTTGAACAATATGCTATAGAATTGAAAAACTTGTCTCTAAATTGTGAATTTCAAGATCTTCGAGAGAGTTTGGTCAAAGATATTCTGGTTTGTGGTCTACGCTGTGAGATGCTGAGAAGTAGATTACTAGGAGATGATGTTGATACTCTTGAGAAAGTAATCCAGGTCTGCATGAACGTTGAAAGCACAAGGGAGCATAACCGACAAATAAGTAATGGGATGGATAAGGAACAGTCGAACAGTAATGTTGATATGGTCCAAGGGAGACAAAATTATTCAAGCCAAGGAAGGTATAATGGAAATAGCAGAGCAGCGCATCATCAGAGCAAACAGAGGACAACACACCATGGTAACTCAAACTGTCCTAAGTGTAATCGACATCATCAGCCAGGAGAGTGTCCAGCGTTTGGTAAAGTCTGTAGCAATTGTGGTAAACAAAATCATTTCTCTTTAATGTGTAGATTTAAAAAACAGGAAAGATTTTCAGATAAATGTTTCTCTAGAAATAATAATCATAACAAAAATTACAATAGAAAGATTCATACATATACATATACAAGATTATATTTTTATAGATTCTGTTAAGAGTGCAGTGGACAACGTCTCCAGAGAATCATGGGCTGTGGAGATGGAAATACAAGGTCATCTGGTCAACTTCAAATTGGACACTGGGGCAATGGCAAACATCATTCCTGCAAATGTGTTGAGAGGTATTAATTTTAATTTCGAAAAAATGTTGCCAACTAATGAAAAATTATGCTCTTATACACGGAATCATTTACCTATCATTGGTCAAACATCGCTCTTATGCCATGTCAATAATAGGGATGAATTGATAAAATTTTATGTAGTGGATTTAGATAGTAGTCCTATTGTGGGTTTGAAATCTTGTATAGATTTAAACTTGATACAAAAAGTTGAGGCAGTAGTAAAAAATTCTAGTACGAGTAAAACAATACTCCAGAACAATAAAGTTTCTGACTTATTAAAAAAATATGAACATTTGTTCAAAGGAATAGGATGTTTGAAAAATTCTCATAAAATAACTTTGAAAGCAAATATACAACCTGTTGTTCATTCTGCCAGGAAAATACCTTTTGCAATTATGGACCAAGTTAAAAATACTTTAGATGAATTAGAAAAACAGCAAATTATTGAGAAGTCTGTTGAGAGCACTGATTGGGTGAATCCAGTAGTAATTGTTAAAAAGCCTAATGGGAAACTCAGAATTTGTTTAGACCCAGCAGATTTGAATAGGTCAATAAAAAGACATTATTTTAAAATTCCAACTTTGGAAGAAATCACTTCTAAATTTGCAGGATCCAAGTATTTCAGTACATTGGATATGACAAATGGGTTTTCACAAGTAAAGTTAGATAAAAAAAGTTCTCAATTATGTACATTTTCTACTCCTTTTGGGCGTTATCGATTTCTACGATTACTTTATGGTTTAGTCAGTAGTCCAGAAGTTTTTCAAGAACTTATGATGGATATTTTTGGGAATGTTGAGGGAATTAGTATATATATTGATGATATAATAGTTACTGGAAAATCAATAGAAGAACATAATACTCGATTAGAGCAGGTTTTCAAACTAGCTCAACAAAATAACTTACGTTTCAATAAAGATAAGTGCAAGTTTTTTGTCAGTGAAGTCAGATACATGGGACATGTCATAAATGAAGCAGGTCTAAATCCAGATAATTCAATAATAGAAGCGATTATAAATATGCCTACTCCAGAAGATGTAAAAGGTTTGCAAAGATTTCTAGGTTTGGTTAACTATGTTGGTAAATTTGTTCCTAATTTGTCAGAAAAAACTGCAACATTAAGACAACTCTTGAGAAAAGACGTAGTATTTTTGTGGGACAAAGTACAAGAATAAACATTTAATGAGTTGAAAGAAATTGTAGTTAGAAGTCCGTGTTTGAGATTTTTTAACATAGATAAGCACTCCACCATTTCAGTTGATGCCTCCCAAAATGGAATGGCAGCAGTTTTGATGCAAGAGGGCATGCCTTGCGCTCATGCATCAAGAGCATTTACAGACGCTCAAAAGAGATACAGTCAGATAGAGAAAGAGCTTTTAGCTTGTTTTTTTGGAAGTCAGAGATATCACCAATTTGTATATGGAAAATCATTTATTATTGAGACTGATCACCGACCTTTACTACAAATTGTTAAAAAACCTTTAAATGATTGCCCACCAAGATTACAACGTATCTTACTTCAGTTAAGAAAATACGATTTTAAACTTATTTACAAACCGGGAAAAGATTTAATTCTAGCCGATACATTGTCTAGGGCATTTGAGAAAGATAAAGTATTTGACGAAAATTTAGATTTGGAGATTGATGCCCAAATCAATTTAATCTCACTGAATTTGAATGTGATTGAAAATAAAAGAAAAGAATTTATAGAAAAAACCAGTCAGGATACTGAGTTAATAACATTAAAATCGTATCTTAGAGATGGATGGCCAAAGAATATGAAAGATATTCAGGAAAATCTGAGATTTTATCATAGATTTCGTCATGAGTTATGTGAGGTTGATGGTTTGGTGTATAAGGGACAGAAATTCATAGTTCCAAAAGCAAGCAGACAAGAAATTTTATGCACAAATTACATTACTCTCATATGGGCATAACAAAAACAATAAATAGGGCTAATTTGTCTTTTTACTGGCCAGGAATGAATAAACATATTCAGGACATGATTCTGTCATGCCACATCTGTCAAGTGAATTCAAATTCTCAAAGATCCGAGCCCATGATATCTCACGAGATAGTTAATTTTCCATTCTATAAAGTAGGTTGTGACATTTTTCATTTATACAATGAATCATATTTGTTAGCAATTGACTATTACTCTAAGTTTGTTGAAGTAGCAAATTTATATAAAAATTTAACTAGTGTAAATGTTATTAGTAAACTTAAGGCTATTTTTGCTAGACATGGAATTCCAAAAGAAGTGGTAACTGATAATGGACCAGAATTTCCATCTATGGAATTCAGAAAATTTTCTGAGGGATGGGAATTTAGTCATGTTAAAAGTTCGCCTAGATACCCACAATCAAATGGTCAGGTTGAGCGTGCTGTCCAAACTGTCAAAAATATATTGAGGAAATGTCACCAAGATAAAAGAGATCCTAATTTGGCCCTGTTAGAATATAGAAACATACCAATAGATAACAAAAACACACCAGCAAATATATTGATGAATAGAAATCTCAGATCGGTTATTCCACAAACAAATTGTCAATTTGAACCCAGATTATTCAACAAAGATTATAATGAGTCTTTGAGAAATGCAAAACTAAAGCAAAAAATCAGTTATGATAATAGAGGTGTAAGAGAACTTGAGGATTTGCAAAATAATTTGAATATTTTGTTTCAAATAAGACCAAATGGACCTTGGAGTTCAGGAAAAATAATAAATAAAGTTGGTATCAGATCTTATAAAATATTATCAGAAAATGGGTCATATTTTGTACGAAATAGGCGTTTTATTAAAAAATCTCTGTTGAGACAAGCAACAAGAGAACCACATACAGTTATCAATAATGATTGTATGGGGAAAAACTATAGAGTTATAGAAATCAAAAATAATAAGGAAACTCAAAATAGCAATAATAATATACCTAGCACTTCTAAAGTGAATATTATACTAGAACCTTTTTCTCAAAATATGACAGCGGAAAGCACGACTCAAGCAGATGATAATGAAGAAAATTTTCAGATGGAAAATGAAAATTCTCATGAGACTGTATTAGGGACTGTATTAGGGGTGACTGAGAATACTTGTGATAGAGACGACAATCTTGACAATCTACCAGAAAGTAGTGATAGTAGCAATAGTAGTGATAGTAGCGATAGTAGCAATAGTAGTGATAGTAGTTTTCAAACGAGTACTGAATCAGTAGAAGAAAAACTGGAAAGTGATGTAGATTTAGAAGACCAACCAATTAAACCTGAAATTGGGATATCTGTATCTCGATATGGCAGAGTCAGAAAAAAACCAATAAAACTTGATATTTATGATACATCTACAATAGATGAAACAAGTTGAGATTAATTAAAACAAAGTTCTAGTTTTAATCTATAGAATAACTTTTTGCAATACATATTGTCGAAATATTGTTCAGAAAACCACAGTTAGTCAAGAGGTAGAAGATCATTACAATTCC